GGTGTCGCAAACCATTTTTATATGTCGCAAATATGGTTGCAACCATCACCAAGAATTGCGACCAGCATCTATAATTTAATCAAAAAGGTTTGATAAGATCCCTTTTGATTTTGATTATTATTAGACAAAATCCTTGTTAATAAATATAATTAATCGATTAAAATTTATTATTACATTAGAAATTCAAACCATTATTTGTGCAAATATCAGTCCTTTAAATCCAATGAAAAATTCAAATTACCATTCATATATTAATCATGGAGTAATTAATGTGGATGCATTATCATGTATTTCCGTGAGAACATTTTTTCCTTTACAATATTGTTTATATATATATATAAGTATAGAAATAAAAGTTAAATTAAATCTACCCTATTTATATGAAGTCATATATTTAAGTGGATAAAATTGGCAGAGAATTTTTGAGCCTAAAAAATTACTATTAGACCTTCAATTAGAATTATTCGGGGGCCTGTATGTATATTGTAATGACGCAAGAATAATAATAATCATGGCAAGTTATAATTTGAATTTGAAATTTCACTTAATTAAACTAATTATTATTCCGTATATTCTCTTTCAAAATAAAAATGCCTCTTCTTTTTTACAAAATGAAAAAAATCAAATTGTCTTTACATGAGTTGTGTTAATGTTTTTCGAATTTTGATTCTGAAGTTAACTACGTGTAATAGTAATACGCAATAATATTAATAATGTGCTTGAGCTGTCTTTAGTGTCTGAACTTGAAACACACATAGGCTGGTCAATGTTGGTACGTAGAATGACTTTTACATAGTACACGAGATGAGGTTTAGGTAAAGTTTTAAAAGTGATAAAAACAGTAAACAAAGAAAAAGAAGAATGCTCAAATTCTTTACTGTTGAAGCATTAGAATAACGATGAATTATTATTGGTGGTGTTAAAGTTATTCTTTAAATAATGCAATTATTTATATTGATATATAGGAAAATCAAACTATTTAGAATTATTCCATCAGATTAAGAAAAAGGAAATAATGTAACCGTTACATTCAAATTTTCTCCACTAATACACAAAGTTTTATATTTTGTATTTTATATTTTTACATAATGTCATATTATAATTTATTATCATCAGGAAGAGAGTATTTTGTATCTAAAATTAATGCTGAAATGCGTAATAATGCAATGGCTAATACTGATGATGATGAAAGTATGAAAGATTATTTTTTTTCATTAGTCAAAGAAAACAAAGAACTTTCTGAAAATGAAAAAGAATATTGCAAAGAAGAGTATATTTATGAGGTTGAATTAGCAATTGCAAGAAATAAATCAGGCAAACCAAAAGAGTGCAACCAATGTAGATTGACAAGATATTCAGATAGATTCTGTGAAGGTTGTATTAGTTTACAATTACAGAGTCTTTTTGCCACTTGGACGTCTGGAAATAATATAGTCGACAACTTTATTCAACAATGTCAAATGAAATCATCTCTGCCAGAATGTATTTTAGAATGGATACCTTTTGAGCAATTTGATGATATAACAAAGTTGACAGAAGGTGGATTTAGTTCGATTTTTACTGCTACATGGAGAAGAGGAAGAATAGTTGATTATGATGAAAATAAAAAGGAATTTAGTTATTTAGGAGGACAACTAGTAGTATTAAAAAGTTTAAATAATTCAAGTAATCCAGGAAAAGCATTTTTTGATGAGGTTGGTAGTTGTCATTTAAAACAAAATAAACAATTCTGTATTATATAATAATTGATTTTATATTTAATTACAGGCAATGAATTATTGTAAAATTAAAGCGTCACTGATTGTTCCTTGCTATGGTATAACCAAATTCCCAGATAATGGAAATTATGCAATTGTTTTAAATTATTTAGAGGGAAATTTAAGGGATTATTTACAAAAAAATCACTTAACATTAAAAAATAGAATTACAATATTTTATTATTTATGCAGATCATTATATCAGATACATGAAAAAAATTTAATACATTGTGATTTACATAGTGGTAATATATTATTGCAAGGAGGTAAATGTTTTATTACAGATTTGGGATTATGTGGACCAGTTGATGAAAAATCATCAGATAAAGTCTATGGAATTGTGTCATATGTTGCACCCGAAGTACTTAGAGGTGAAAAGAACACCAAAGAATCTGATATCTATAGTGTTGGGATGTTAATGTGGGAAATATTTGCAGGCCATCCACCATTTGATGATAGAGCTCACAATCATCGTTTGATTTTTGATATATGTGCAGAAGGTTTACGACCACCAATATTGCCTGGAATGCCTGAAGATTATGCGCAAATGATGCAGAGGTGTTGGGATGTGGATCCATCAAAAAGACCAACTAGTGGAGAGCTTTATGATTTTGCTTTTAATAAAAATAACGAAATTATTAATGATAATAATAGTAATAATATTACTAGTAGTGGTAGTAGTGCTTTGCAACAAGTATACAAATCACATCCAGGTGCATATCATACAAGTAGAATATTGGATGAAGAGATTGCTAAATCAAAAAGCTTAAAAATTTATACAAGTAATGATAGTTCGTTAAATAGTCTTGATTTTAACTCCCTTCTATTAAATGCTGAAGGTAAATAAAAACTCGTTATTAATTAATTAATTGGAACTTACTATCCATTAATTATTGCTAACAATGTTTTTGAATTCAATTAATAAATATTAGATTCTAGTAATAATAATGAAAGAATTGACGAATGACTAATTTATTTTCCAGCATAAATTTATTCATTATAATTATTTATCTTTTTATCTTTTTTATCTTTATTTTATTTCTTTTGAAATAATAAACTTTTTTAATTCCTGTTAAATGATGACATTGCAAGGTGGCCTTTCAGTTTACGCCTATTGTTTAACATGTATGGCCTATTACGGCTTAACTTTTGGCTACTCTTGTGCTTGTCATCTAATAAGTTTATGAATTTACTTGCGAATCTGTAAGCACGCTTAATGGTACTAGATACTGTATACTTTAACACTTATTTTTCATTATTAATATTTGGATAATTCATTGCTGTAATCAACAGGTGCGATAGGCAAAACAATCACACTCAACCTTAGAAAATGCACCTAATAAAACATGTAAAATTCCACTTCTCTAGCATTGAATTATTAATAAAAAAAAAAAAAAAGGTCGAAATCTTGTTTTTTAAAAAAATATAAATGCTAGATATGCGATTACCATATTTTTTGTGTGCTATTATCGTTTAAACGTGAGCACGACTTTTGTCCATGTAGTCTTTAATTCCTAATTATATTAAAGAAGAATACCCCGCCGCCGGACTCCGATCCAACCCGTTGGGCATGCAAAAAGATATCGATGAATTAAAACAAAATCAAAATGACCTTATAAGTAATTATTTAAAATCTATTTTGAATAACCACAAAATATTTATCTCCGACGGGCAGGTGAAATTGAAACATTAAATATCAGTCAAAAAATCAATAATCATCATCTTGATTTTGAGGATATCAATGAATTAAAACGAAGACTGAATGAATATATAAGCGATTGTTTAAAATCTATTTCTAACAAACACCATGTATAATAAAGAATGCAGAAAATAATCTTCAACGGAGAATGAAATTGAAATGTTGAATAATCGTATTAAAGATTTTGGTGGTTACGATAGTTATTTGTCTTTATAAACGAATATGAAAGTGGAGAGTGTGATTGACATTGATATGTACATATGATAGAATAGATTGGTTTAATAACAAAGTCTTATCAGGTAAATTCAAAGTAGAGCCTTGGTTTAATAACAGACATTTATTTAAGTTTATCGAAAGTTGTGACCCTAAAGAACACGAACGTACAAAAAACCATTGTAACGTGTGTTTAAAATACAGAAATATTATTGCTCTTTATTAAATAAATTTATTTTAACGTGTATTTTAACATAGTATTTATTGAATATTTTATATTATTTATTATTATGTATTTATTTATCGTTCGTTGGTAAGGAGTCGTGACGCAGAAGGACTTGTCCACCAGACAAACCGGAGTGGATGTGGAAAACAACGACTTAACGCATTATCTGTGTCATGTTTTGGAAATATGCCTTATAAAGAATCAAAATGGTTATACGATAATTTGGCCAGGGACTTTGAGCCCTTGATATTATTAATAATGAAAAGCACAACATAATCACAACAAATGACTGTTGTAATAAAATCAAATGTAAACTATTTTGTCATCCATGGTTTGTCGTGGTTTATTGTACTTGGTCTATATTGTCGTAATGGCATATTTGATCATTAGCTGGGCCAACTGTCATAATATTATTTGAAATTCAAAATTCTTACGAGTTATTTCAGTATCCATTGTGATGTTATTAAAAAAAAGTTGGGTCAAAGTTTTAAAACAAAGCATGACAACTTTCTTGCATGAACTTTTAATATTAATTACAAAATGTTTTTGAGTGGCAAGAGAGCTCGTATTAGGATTACATTAGGTGAGTGGTGTGTTGAAGAGTAGACAACACCCCAAAACGAGTTGATATTTAAATTTCTTGTTATCCGCATTTTCAAACTTCTTTAGCCAAGTGTACGACTAAACCTGGAAGTTTTACCAGAACCTGGAAATTTGCAAACAAACCCACTATTGCTTTGATCATTGTCTTTCACAATCTTTTTCGTGATCATATTTTCTTTTAACTAGAGTGAGAGTTTAAAAGTTTAATATTTTAGAGTCGGCTTGATGCTATTATTCATTGATTTTATTGTTTGCAATTTCTAGTCGTCATCGTTTACGAATTCAATGCTCGTTTCCTTTATAAAAAAAATCACATGTGGAAGGAACCAAATTCATAAAAGATCTTGTTGATCAAAATAATTTTTTTATCAATTCACGTGAATTCTATCGAGTAAAATATATAAATAAAGAAAAGAAATTTGTACATAATGACAGCAAGAAACATTAATAAAATCTGTACTTTAACAAAAGTTGTTCCAAGAAATTTCGGTTTACAAGTAACGAAATTACCAAAATTTTATCTCAACAATGAAAATATTATAAATGTTAATAATAACAATAATGTCAATTTAATACGTTTTTTCAAAAGTAAGTAAGATCTTTTTCAAGAGAAAATAAAACTGAAACATTAGAGTTAATTGAAATCAAGCAATCAATCAATCATTTAATAATAAGTTATTTATCTCAAAAACAATTAGCAACACCTTGTTTTAATTCAACAATTGAAGCTACAAATGCACAAGAACAAATCTCGATGCCATCCTCTACACCTGTTACAACCACAACTACAACCATTTCTTCTTCTTCTTCCTCTGCATCTTTACTAAACGATCCGCCATCTTTTCCACCTGCTGCTTCAGAATCACTTATCAATGAAAGTGAATTTGTTAATTATGATCCACTAATGGAATTAGCGAAAAGTCGGGATAATATAAAAAAATTGAATGGGATTTTTCAAGACATGAAATCTAAAAATATTAAACCTGATGTTACGGCCTATAATATTTTTCTAGAGGCTTATTCAAGACGTTCAGATTTAATTGAATCCACAAAAGTTTTACAAGATATGCTTGAAGGTGGTATCAAACCTAATTTAGAAACAATTAACATCATACTAAAGGTAAATTATCATCATCATTATTGTAACCCAAGATCAAAATAAAATGATTACAGTTAATGATAATTTGATAAAAATCATGTATGTTAACTATATTTTAATTCTTGTTAATTATTATTTTTTTTTTAAAAAGACATGTGGAAAACAAGAAGACTCAACCCTTCGAGAATTCACTTTTGACTTGATGAATCAATTTCAACTTGAACCAAACGGAACTACATATGAATATTATATTGATGCAATGATAGCAAATGATGAACTTGAACATGCAAAAGATTTCCTTGAAACAATAAAAAGTCAAAACTTTAAACCATCATCTCAATTGTATCAAAAGATCATTAAAGCCTTCATAAGGTGTAATGATGATATTACGGTACTTGAATTAATGAAAATGTCTGAAGGAGATGGTTATAGTGTGTTTTCTAACACGAATTTGGATATTCTAAGAGTTTTTGTTTATCAAAATAATGTAGGTTTTATTTTATTAAAATTTAAATTTATATTAAAAAGTAATAATGATATGCTTATTTCCATTTTGTGTTTAGATGGAAGGTGTATTGAAGTGTTGGGATATCCTTACTAAAGATAAATTTTGGTTGGATGAAGGTTTATGTATAAATTTGTTAAATTTAGCCTCTGTGTCCGGTAATACAAGACTAGCAACTGAAGTACTTAAATATTTAATGACTGTTCGTAAATTAGTCAATTTGGAATTGTACCATTTGGAGCCATTTCTTGAAGCATTTGTTACTAAAGGTGATTTGAAACAAGCTTTTGGTGTGTTAAACATTATAAGATCTTCAAAGCATGTATGTGCTATACAGACAATTTCATCAATTGTAAAATATATAGAAAGAAGCACCGATTTGATTGACAAGGCTTATTACATATTAGAAGAATTACACAATGAAGGTAAAAAGGTTGATATATCGGCATTTAATGCAATCATTGCTGCTTGTAAGAGAATCGGCGGTAGATCAAATAGTGCTGATTTGAAAAGAGCTATTGAAACCTTTAAATCAATCGAGAAATTTGGCATAAAGCCTGATTTAGATACATTCAATGCTTTAATAAATGTAACCATCTACTCTGGTCATAAGGAGTTGGGTGAAGAATTTTTCAAGGAGTTAAAGGAAACTAATGGTCTTGAACCAAACGCTGATACTTATAAACACATGATATTTGTGTGTTTGAATCAACAAGATTATGAGGACGCATTTAAATATTTAGAAGAAATGAAATCAAAAAATATATTACCAAGCATTGAAATCTATGAAAGGATCATTATGAAATGTGTTGCGAATAATGACACAAGAGCTAAAATGGCTTTGGAAGAAATGAAACAATTTGGTTATAGACCCACATTAGATATTATTGATTCTGTAAAATTTGGTGTTTTGGTGAATAGAAATTCTGAAAACACTATTCCAAATGATAATAATAATCTTCGACAACAAGGAAGATATCCACAATCATCACAACCACCACAAAATCGACGACAACGTGATAATGGTCAACAACTAAATGATCAAGATAAATTATTGACAATGTTAAGTGCGGAATCATTCAATCAAAATAAAGGAGGAGAAACAACTATAAAGGACGAACATATTGCTCAATTAGATGCTTTCTTTGAAGACATCCTTAGTCAAAAAGACTAAAATATTCGTTTTTTGCTGATTAGTAGTTATTATATTTAATCAATAATTTGACACATTTGTCATGATTATCTACTTTTCTTGAATGCTTAAATGATACATATAACGGGATTTCTTATTTATATGAATAATAATTATATTATTAATTTTGTGTTTTCTTCATCACACACGCTCTCTATATTTAGATTTTTTTATAAATCAATTAATCTTCTTTTTTTCTAGAATATTTAAAATTTTTTTTTTAAATTGATATTGATATTTAATCAATCTAAAATAAACAAAGAAAATTAATTAGTTAATTAGAGAGAAGTATGCATGACCTTTATTATTGTTTGTTTGCTTGATTATTATAATAATAATGATCGATTGATTTCCGTCTTTCATTATCTAACTACTACCCAATTATCGTTATGATCTTATACTGATATTGATCAATTTAAAGAAAAAGAAAAAAATTTTTTCACTTGCTTTATTATAAATAGCAATACATTAATTTTGTTGTATTTACATTTTTTTTGCAATAACATATCATATATAACTAATCATTATTTGTGAATTTTTTTTTTTAAAAATTAATTTAAAAATATAAGATTATTAATTGATATTAGCAAAAGAATCTTAACAGTATTTTCAACCATTGTGTATCAAATATCCATTGATTGGCACGATAACTATCCAAGTCCTCCCCATACTCCTCTGATTCTCCTTGCCAATTGAATATCTTTTTGCATTAGTGTGACTCGTTTGGCATGGATGGCGCATAGATTTCTGATTGATGAAGAAGAAAATTTTGTTTTTTTATTAATATTATTAATAAAATCATGTTATAATTTTTATAAATTGAAAATCTTAATCAAAACATACGCATCCTCAAACAAGTGAACCAGGAATGCTTCGGTGGCTAATTGAAAAAAAATTTTTTTTAATTATAAATTGATATGTATTCACACACACGCACACACGCACACACACATATAAAGAATTCAATTAACAAAATAAAATGAATGGTTTACCTTCTTGAAGGGCTAAAATAGCCGTGGATTGCCATCTAAACCCCACCTGAGAATCCGGTTGAAGTATTTCCATGGCAATCTCTCGAACCTATAAATGTGTGTGTTTCAATCACTATTAAAAAAATTTTTTAACATAATAATTATTATTCTGATCACTAACCACTCTGGAAAACGGCAATTTCCTGAGGAGAAGATTTGTGGTTTTTTGGTACTGTCTGATTTCCCTTAAAGCCACAGTGCCAGGTTTATATCTTCTCGGTTTTGATGGTCTTATGGGATCACCAGCTTTTTATTACGCATATTTAATTCATTTATTTATGACAAGTGAGAATTTTTTTCAAATTTAAATGTTATAAAACCATAAAAATAAAAATGTAACAAATCTTTACGTCTAGTTTTTATAGCATGAGGTGAACTTGTTGCTGAAGCGATTCGTCTTGGAAATTTTTTTGCAGCAGCTGGTCTACGTTTTGTTTGTGGTTGCGTTCTAGCCATAACTCACTCAAGAGAAATTACAAGGATAAGGAATAAATTAATCGATTTATATTGATTATAATTCACTAATTCACAAGAATTGTTTTACTCGTTCACAAAGAAAAAAATTTTTGAAAAAGATTAAAATATTAAAATATCGACCACGCGTTATTTTGTCAAATTTAGAGATGATTGACAAAATTTGTTGTACAAAAAGTTACAAGATGATGATAATGAATTTATTGTTCCAATAGTTAATAAGATTATGGCAAAAAATATATTTGCGTCTACTTTGGCTGGTACCGGTGCAGGGTAAAATTTTAATCGATTGTTAATATTCGATAAATTTATTTAAATGTTGATTAATGTTAATTTATTGATTAATGATAATCCAAAGAATTGTTGAAGTTTTAATTGTGCAGGTAAAAAAAAATTTTGGCAATAAAATTTTTAATAAATCAAATTAAAAAAAAAAAAAAAGAATTTATTTATATTTATTTTTTAATAGCCAACTGATGTATTAAAAACCAGGTAAGTTATATATATTATTTATTTTTGATTTTTTTCAATTTTTCAATTTACTTATTTTACTAATGATTTTATGTGTGATTAATTAACATTTCAAATCGATTAGATATCAGGTAATTAATTAATTAATTTTCAAAATTTAATAAATTATTGTCATTGTTACTATCTAATTGTTTAATTATTAATTATTATCAGTCAGTTAGAGTTTTTCATAATTATCAAGGTTCTGGAATAATAAAATCATTTTCAAAAATTATTAATCAAGAAGGTTTTTTTGGTAAAAAAAAAAATTTTATTATTGCTAAAAATAAGAAGAATGAAAGAATTGATTTTCTTAATTATTTAATATTAATAATAGTGATCTTTTAATTAATAGCATTGTATAGAGGTACACTACCATCCATGTGTATTGTAACTCCAAGGTAATAATAATAACAATATCAATAATAATAATGAAATCTTTTAATTATGATATACACGTAGATGTAAATATGCTTAATAAATATATATATTATCAAATTTACTATCAAGAGTTTCATTACAATATGCAGGTTTTGCAATGTTTAGACCAATTTTTGTTGATATGGAAACTAAAAGACTTACTCCACTTGGAAGTTCATCTGCTTTAACAGGTGTAAGTAGATACATTGATAAATGGATAAAGTGTAAATTTAATCATTTAATCATTTAAAATGTTATTAGGTTTGTACAGGTGTATTACAATCTATTACATTAGTCACTCCTTTAGAATTAATAAAAATAAGACAACAAACTGACATAAGTAAGAAAAAATACAAAGGGATGATTTCCACAATTGGAATAATAGTTAAGGAAGAAGGGTGAAGATTATGATTAATGTTGATCCTTTTGTCTTTCGTAATGTTGTTAATCAATGTGATTTTTTTTATCAGAATATTCGCATTATATAAAGGTCTTTTGCCTACAATATTTAAACAGTCTTGGGGATTGGGAATAAAGGTAAATAAACAACAATAAAAAATAAATTTATTTTTATTTTTAATAACAATATAAATATATTTGTCTATTTACATGTTAATTCGTAGTTTTCTGCTTATACAGCATTTAAAGATTTATTTCTATCTTATAATAATAATAATTCGGCATCGTATCAACATGCAGCATCTGGTTTTCTAGCAAATGTTATTGTCGGCATCTTGAATTCTCCACCTGATGTTGTAAAAACTAGAATGCAAGATCAATCCTCGCTTTACAAAACTAGTTGGAACTGTTGTAAATTGATGCTTAAAGAGGAAGGATTCCTTGCTTTTTTTAGAGGTGCTTCGCTGAGAGTGCTAAGAGTTGCTCCGGGAGGCGGAATACAATTCATGACTTATGAATATTTATTAAAGTCAATAAATGAGAAATTTTGAATTGTTGTGAATATTTTTTAATTTCAATAAAATTGCGCGTGTCACCCAATGCACTTTCAAAATCGGTATATTTCAGATCTTTATTTTTTTTTGTTTAGCATTTTCTGCAATTCCGTATTTTTGACCGAGTTCATTATATGGAATGATGAATTTCTTTTATAAAAACTTGCAAAATTGTTTTTTCTCACCCCAAGTCTTCTTATTTGATTGACCAATTGATGACATTTTTACAATCCAAATTTATAATACTTATTATTATTCACTATATAGTAAGTTCGCTATATAAAGTGCCGACTGTAAGTTCAATTTTTTTGATTGTTGTTTTGTTTTAACCACGAGTTAAATAGAGCATATTGTGTTAACCAAATATTTTAAGTGAAAATTTTATTAGGTGATAAGAGATTTTTCTATAGGAAAATTAAATATTGAATATAGCTGCCTTAGAGTAAGTCGCTTTTACCAACGGTTATAAATTTATTTATTTAAGGTCGGATGATGGGTCACTTTGTATAATTTGTGTCTTTATTTTAAAATTTTAATGAATAATAATGAAATAATATAAATTTTCCATCAACCCTCATTTCAACTACTTATCCTTTATTATTATCCCTTATTATATAATTAATAAACTATTTAATTTGTCTTATTAAAATTTATAAATAAAATATATCGTCCTTGAATAAAAAATTAAAATTGTTTACATTTTTCTTTTTTATGATCACTATACATAAATATATCTCGAACTCGATTACATATGGTTAACAGTATATTAATATCTATGTACATGATTAAAAATAAATCCTTTATAGACAAGTCTCTATTATTTTTAAAATTATCCTCTAAAAACGTCCGTACCAGAATGGACAAACTCGGTGGAAATCACGTGTTTTATTTACAAGTTGCTTAAATTTTGGAGTTCCAAGTGTATCACGTTTGAACCTTGCTTGTGTTGATAGCGGAACCGGATTGCATAGCTTATCATATAAAATATTAAACGATTTTTGAAAAAATTTTCGCATTTCCAGAAGTATTTCTATTTCATCAACAAAGGGTAGCATTTCTTTTATCGATGCCGGAACTGAAATCTGAGCGATACGAACCATAAAATATGTTCATTTAATAAGATCTAATGTAAAAAAATCGATTGTATGGTCAATATAATGAAATGTCAAAAGTGATTAAAAAGGAATTTCGTGGATAAACAATACATTATACTGATTTACTTACCAACACATTGAAAACCTGCACCATTGTCTATTGCAAAATCCAAGCAATCTTTCATGAGCACGCCAATTCGAATAAGATCGTTGCAGTTTTTGTACACATTGTTTCTTTGTGATGGCGGACTAACCTCGCCCATGAATATAATGGCTTCTGTCTGAAGTTGATGGATAATCGAGACAACAAAATCTGGTTGCTTGCATCGACCTTTGGATTTTCTTGATTTGCTTTCATTTAGAGCCGTATTGGGCCATTCGACAATATGGTTATCTGGATGATGGGAGGTTCCCTTCATTATGTAATCTAAATAATTTGTGATTAGTGTAATTTCGCTAGGTTCACTCTTGATCTTTTCACTAGGTAATGTTTCTGGACCTTTCAAAATTACACAACCAAAGTTCTCCTCAAATTTTGATTACTTGCAATTTCTTTAAGGAGCAAATTCATGGCACTATCAAGGAGGGTTGACAAATTGACTGGTCCATTGAAAACTGATTGGGGTGTGAGATGCCTAATTAGGTGATGTAACATAACAAACTTTTTTTTAAAAAACCAAAATATATATAAAAAACTATATAAATAAAAATTGTATCAGGGCCTTCAAACAAAGAGATACAAACATGAAACTAAGGGAAATTATAGTAAATAGATCAAACTTTTAGTCTATAGAGAGTTTTTTCTTGCCAAATAAAAAAAAATTTTTTTTATATATTGTAAAGAAATTGAAAAAGTTTGCTAATAGAAAAACTATATAACCAAATGAGATGTGCCAAAAAGGCTCTATATATATTTATTATAAAAGACTTCAGCAATAAAACTATAAAAAATTTTGTTTAATTTTATTATGTAAAAAAAAGTTATCATGGTTTAAAGTTATTCAATTTATTATTAAATTTTTACCATAAAAATTTACATTGTAACGGATAAATTAATAGAAATTTCTTTTTATAATTCATGTTTTCAAAAAAATATATTGTTGGTTGAACTTTGTTGTCAACATTTACAATGTGTTGAAATATATAATAAAGATACTAAAAAATCCGCACATAATAATTTGTTATATTGATGTAACATATGTTTGATGTTCAACAGCCATGGAACACCACAGTTATTCAGGTATTGATGATGCTGGTCAATTTATAAAAATACGGGGAAATTTTAAAGATCTTCTCCTTAACGTTTGTACAAACTATTGAATAATTGATAAAACGTTCGTTAGAAATATTTTGTTCATAGATATTGTCCTTAACGCTTGTACAAACTATTGAATAATTGATAAAACGTTTGTTAGTATATTTTGTTCATAGATCTTGTCCTTAAAGCTTATTTCGATTACTCCTATACAAACTATTAAATAATTGATAAAACGTTCGTTAGAATATTTGCAAGCTTCATAGATCTTGTCCTTAAAGCTTACTTCGATTACTCCTATACAAACTGGATCTTAATCATTATTATCTTCCTCAAAAAACGATGGTTCGTTATCGTCGTTGCCACTAATTATTATTATTATTGATTTGATGGATCTTCGTACATTACAAAAATTAACCAATCAAATCAATTAACGAATTTTATCTTTTTTAAATGTTTCCTTCAACTAAATAAATAATAAAAATTAACAAAAAGAGGGGTCATGTCACGAAGGGTCAATACACCCAACATGAGCCACTCACGTGAGTTCCACCTTCCGCCACGCGGGACTTTACAGCCGGTTCAAAGTGAGGAATTACACCTAAGGGAGCCGGACACAGGGGACCTTATCTGGTACTCATGATTGCATGACTTTTCCCTGGTTGATACAATTTTACCAATTCTATGACTTGTATATCAACTTTTTTTCAAGTTGTGCAAAATATGGGATACCAACCATTTTACAATATTCCATTGGATAAATTTGTTCCATGATTTTTATTGTTTAAAAAAAATAAAACTCAATAGAAAAAGTAGACTATTAAATACAAGATGTATGGCGACATACGAAGCTTCCAAAGCAAGTTTGTAAAATATAGTGATCAATTATTAAGTTTTGCAAATGAATGTTTCATCAATTATTGAATAGCTTGTATCGAATCAAGTGTTAAAAGTCAAGATCTATGAAGCTGTTTGTAAAATATATTTAATCAATTATTCAAATAATTATATGGGCGGGCTTGGTCGTCAAGACCTATTTGCAAATCAAGTTTCCAAAAATGAACGTTTATTATTATAGGCGGGATTGATCAAAGTAAGTCTTAAAGTCGAGATCTACGAAGTTGTTTGTAAAATATATTTAATTAACGTTTCATTATTATCAATTATTCGATAATTATATAGGCGGGATTGATCAAAGTAAGTCTTAAAGTCGAGATCTACGAAGCTGTTTATAAAATATATTTAACGTTTCATTATTATCAATTATTCGATAATTATATAGGCGGGATTGACCAAAGGTCGAGATCTACGAAGCTGTTTGTAAAATATATTTAATTAACGTTTTATTGTTATAATTATTTGATAATTATATAGGCGGGATTGATCAAAGTAAGTGTTAGTCAAGATCTATGAAGCCTGCAAAACGTATGTTTATCAATTATTCAATAATTGTATAGGCGGGATTGATCAAATTAAGTGTTAGTCAAGATCTATGAAGCCTGCATAACGTATGTTTATCAATTATTCAATAATTATATAGGCGGGATTGATCAAATTAAGTGTTAGTCAAGATCTATGAAGCCTGCAAAACGTATGTTTATCAATTATTCAATAATTATATAGGCGGGATTGATCAAATTAAGTGTTAAAGACAATTTATACATTTTATTTATTATTTATAAATAAAACAATAATTAATAATCATTAATGAAAATTTAATCAATATAAAGTCAGGAGTATAAAAACAATCATTAATAAAATACCTTTTAGTTTTTGCTGAATCCCATCATAAAATTCTTCATGAATATTAAAATAGTTTTCGTGAACCTCTCTATAAGTTATTAACCAATAACCCCATAAAGCAATGACCATATGAAAGTTTAAAGTATTCTACACCTTCTCATTTACTATCAAGTCTTTTAAAGCGATATTGAGAAATAATCTGAGCTTTGAAATGAAAAGGTAATACCGTTTTTGAATGGCTGTGAATTCATGGAGAGAAGAGCTTTCGATGTGAAGAAGTATTCATAAGAAAGCTTTAGTGGAGTACTTTCATTTTACTCTAACAATGAAGTTCGAATTTATTATAAAAATAACGAGATATTTAAAAAAGCTTCATGTGACACGAATTTCGAATTTTAAAAATATCCTTCAATGAACTTACTATTACTTTTTTTACATTTGATATATTTTTCAATTTTATTAACCACTAACTACTATATTAATAATTTTTAAAAGTATGATTTAGATATACGAAATAGATTGATCATTCAACTCAATCAGGTGACTTTTTAATGCAATTAAAAATAGAGATTTTGCAAAGCCAGATTAATTTAGACAGTATGTATAACTTAGAACATTGAAATCTTTGGTTTTCTTTCCCTTTATTTATAACAATTCGACTGTACTCAAAAGTTCTGTCACTTACTCTTATTTTAATAATCGTTTGTGTTAGTTAATTCTTTGTATTTATTAAAGATAAAGGATTGACTTTTTACAAATTTACAAATCTATAATAAGAATAGGTAATTTCATTGCAAGTAATATAATAAAAATCATTGGTCTTGCTTGATATAAAACTATGAGATAACAATAAAGAAAATACAGTGAATGCAGTGCAGTGAATAATAAGAATTGTTACAAATTATGGATTTTTACACAAAAGTCACGTAGGGTGCATTTCATATGAGTGCCGAGACACATAGCGTGCACTTATAGAGGGTGTGCATCCATGGCAAATGCATTTATAATTAATTAATTAGTTAATTTTTAAAAAAGATAAATTATACATAGCCACTGGTGAAATTGCAGTCATGGATGGAGTCATAGAAGCAAAGGTTTCTAATCAGAAAAAAAAATTTAGTTATTCCTAATATTTCACATAGTGATTTAACAATAATTATTATTGGTGCAACAGAGAAAAGTGAAGCTCGTGATGAAAAGGAACATATCGGTATGTAAATATTGGTGATGTTAGCCAGTAGAAAACCTTAGCCGGCTAGGAACTTTGATAAATCCCAGTTGATGAAAAAACTTTACAGATGATAATAGGCTTGCCGGTATTATTATTACTACTACTATCGTTATTATTATTATTGTTGTTATTATTTACTATTGTTATATCCTACCATTATTACTATTTAAAGGTTCGAATAAGGTTTGTTCGAATTATTTGTCATGAATTTAAATATTCGAATTACATTGAAAGTTTATTTAATTTTTTTTTTTTGAGCAAATGTATGTTTTTTTGTCGTTCCAAATAATACAGATGGACCCATACCAACGAAGTGTCTATGCCACCAAATTCTACATTAGTAAATATTAATATTGCAAATAAATAATTACCATTTAACATACAGTACAACTCTTGTTTCGACGGATTATAAACAACTTCGCGTTCCAACGGATTTTAAAAATCTTTGTTACTATTACACATTAACATTATTATTATTATTATTATTATTATTATTATTTATACTAAAAATCCGTTGATTATAATTATAATTAGTACTATTACTAGTACTAGTAATTTCGTTTCAACGGATTTTAAATGAAACATTTTTATATGTCCAGCCACTCTGTTGAAACTGTATAATGGCATGCAAATAATTTACTGATAAATTTGCTAATATATCATCAAAATCGGAATCTAATTTTAATAGACAAGGTAAAAAAGAAGAAATAACCCAGAGGGTAAATACAGTATAATATATACAACAATATTTTGTATACATGTTTCTATTTTCAATTCCCTCACAATTAGATTCATTGATATACACAGAAAGAATTATTATTTATTAAAAATTTTTTTTAAAAAAAATAAATAAAAGCATAAAAGCATAAGAGTATACACATGTATAATGAAATAAGAAAAAAATCTTTATTTATTTAATTCACCAATATATTTAGCCCATAGGGATTGTGGTGTACTAATAACAAAATCATCCTCACACGTAAATGTAAGTGGATCATAATAAATATCAGGATTTAATCGTTGTTGAGCATTGGTTTGATGATTATAGGTTGAAGTACAGCCACTAAACAGTATTTGTTGGTAACAATTATCTTCTAAAAAATTTTTAAGAAATCACATATATAATATTGTATTATGTATGTGTTTTTCTATGTATATATTATTAATATGATGTGTTAATATTTACCTTG